TGATAACAGTCATAGTGGTGTTTATTTTCATAAAAATGTGTCATAGAATTTTCAAATATAAGTAAATATTTTTAATCATATATTTTAGAATATTTTGCATATGGATTTTTGCGTGAGCACGCGCAGAAGTTGCCAATGAGTGTTCAATTTTTTTTTTGTCTTTTTAAGTAGCTACAAAGACAGCCTTTCGGTCAAATTGAATTTCCTAATTTTGCTTTCACACCATGGCTTTCGCAACTTGGGGCATAGAAGCGTGATCGCAAAAATCCACAAAGGCTTCAATGGCCATCAATTCATCCTGGTTGCTGTAGATTAATTTCAACTAAAGTGGATTTGAGGCCAGCCCTCCCTATCGGTCTTGAAATGCCAAAGAAGGCAGCACAGTCGTCTCGTACTAAACATCATTTGTCAGTACGGACGCCATTCGAGGTCATTACTGATAACGAGTCCCCACTTTCAAAAATGTGAATTTTCTGACCTGCTGAAGCAAAAGAAGAATTCAGCATCACAAGCTCACCCTATCAGCCACAAACAAATGGGACTGTTAAAGGGCGCCAATCAAGCTATAAAAGTCATTTTAACAAAAAGACATTCAAAGCACTAAAGCTTGGCACGAACAATTTACCCGAAAATGCTATAAGGGAATTATTAGGACTTCAATCAGAATACCTATGGGTAACCCCGTAAATTCTTTAGTGTATGGTAAATGGAAAGCAGTGTTGCCTATTTGAGCTGGAAGTTTCAGTCGGCGAGGATTATCCGGGAAAGCCAGATCAGCGAAGCAGATTGGGCTTAAAGAATTACACCTCAAAACTCCTGGTATTGAATTGAAAATACGATTTTGCAAGCGATCCAACCAAACTCAAGTTTACGCATGAGAAGAATAGCAACGGCAATTTTAAATGAGAAGGTCAAAGACAAAAACTAGAAAGGTTGTTGGTCCTGAGGAAATTAGACAGCCAATCGTAGACCCCGCATGGGAAAGGTTTCGCCTCATTGGGCTGGATCCTATGTGTTGAGAAAAATATTGTCCTGGCGGGGCCCGTCATTTTGACTTGATTTGGGGATGTTTTGGGAATTCCACGATCCATGTAATTTAGATCAGTTTTAAAAAGAATTTTTGTATAATACAGCATTTGCCATAATGTAAAAAGAGCTACCATTATACTGATTCTCCCCTCGAAAAAAAAGAAATTATGTATCGGAGAATATGTAGGCAGCCCTCTTTAGGCGCGTTCTAAGCATTTAATAAAAAAAATCAATTTCAATATTTCATTCTTCCCTTTGCCAAAAAAAAAAAGCAAAAGAGGAAAAAAAAAAGTGAAAAAAAGAAGTGAAAAAAAAAGAGAAAACCCCGCTAAGTCGAAACACCCGAAAGGGCGGCTTAGGCAAAAGTCCGGAGCCCGCTTAAGTTGAAAAACCGAAAAGGGCGGCTTAGGCAAAAATGGGTAGGCTCGCTAAGTTGAAAACCGAAAAGGGCGGCTTAGGCAAAACTTAGAAGCTTTGAATAAATAAAGTTGGAAATGCTTGGAAAGCTTAAAAGTAAATGACATTCCCAATTAAAGCCAATAAAAGTCAAAAACAGTCCGAAGTCAAAGGCCAGAAACAAAAGAGTCCAAGAGAAAAATAAGTAAATAATGAAAGTCTAAGTCCAAGTCAAAAAAAAAAACAAAACATGACATCCAAAGCAGAACAACATCCAAAAATCCAAGTCAAAAGTCCTGAAATAAAAAGTCAAAATAAGGGAAAAAAACAACAAAAGTCCAAAAGCCTATAAGAGTCTAACGTGTCCCGTCGCCATCCGTGGGGCAAACATCCTCCGAGTCATCCCCTAAGCCGTTGAACTCCTCCAACCTCGCCTGTCCCGAGGAGCCAAACACAATCTCCTCATCAGTCCCAATCTCAATTATCAGCGTCAAGCCTGAGCCCACCTTCCAAGTACACTTCAGCAGTGGCAATTCCCTCCTTGCCTTTCAACGCGGCCAGACACGGCAATGAACCAGGTCCCTGATACTCAGGAGAAGTCTGAACACCAAGCAAGGATAGGGTTAAAGGCTAAACCAGTGGATGGTCCTTAACCCAAGCCCTAAGGAACGGCTCGAGTAACACCTGGAGTGAATGGCTGAATAGCTGGAAATGCCATCAATCGGAACAGTCTGGTCTATCCCCATCTGCCTCAAAACGCGTGAAGCGCAGTACCACGTGCAATGTGTAAGGCCTAGCAGATAAACTTGGGTGTGACAGAAGCTAATCTGGATGAAGCGGGTGATGTCATACCAGAAAATGTACCACAGTACATCATTTGGACCCGACTCAATCAGCCATGAGGTCCATGCATCAGTGGACGGATGTGTGATCAGGATCCTCCGCATATGATACTGAGAAGGGTTGTAAGGCAAGAAAGTAGGAGCAGCAACCACTTGGAGGTGATCCTTTAACCAAACCTGAGCAATGGATCCTTTCTATTACAACAATGGATCCTTTCTATTACAAGGAACGACAACGAACCAAAAGAAAGAAGAAAAAAGGAAAAGGAAAAGGGGAAAT